CCCATGTATCCCTAGCTCTTCAACAGTGCCTAGGCACACAGGAATACTCACATTTATTAATGAATGAGAATAGTTAAGCTTAGAGAAGTTAAGTAGCCTCAGGTCACACTGGGCTTTGCCCCCAGGTCTGACTCTGAGGTCTGAGTCCAGAACCACTTTTCCATGTCATTGCCATCAGCATTTCATTTACTCAATAAATGTTTTGAGCATCTATCCTAAGCCAACCTTTCCTCCCAGCTCTTCCTAAATTGGCCACATGCAGTTCTCTGACTAGCCCCTCTCCTTGTCCAAAAATCCTAACTTCTCCTGCCAGGCCCTACAGGCCATCTCACATTCCTACCATGGAGCCCTCACTCCCTCCAGAAGCAAGTACAGTTTACCCTTGAACAACACGGGTTTGGAGCACCGACCCCCTGCGCAGGTGAAAATCCACATATAACTTTAACTCTCCCCAAAATTAAGTACTAATAGCCTACTGTTGACCAGAAGCCTTACTGAATAAGTTAACACATTTTGTAAGCTGTATGTATTGTATATACCCTATTCTTACAATAAAGTAAGCTGGAGAAAATAAAATGTTATTAAGAACATCATAAGGAACAGACAATACATTTACAGTATTTATTGAAAAAAACCCACATAGTTCAATCCCGTGTTATTCAAGGATCAGCTGTATTGAATTCTCAGAATGCTTTGTGTGCCTCTCCTCTGCCAGGTTATTGGAGTCACCTGCATCCCTGCTGTACTATGCACACAGCAGGTGCCTAATGCATGTGTCTTAGCCCACCACACGGACCCCACACCATCAGCCTAGCTCACTTGTTTTAGGGAAGCTAATTTTCCTTTGTCATCCAATTGACAAGTAGGTTGCCTGTCTGTGACTTGTCTGACCCCTTTTCTCTACAAAATAATATAAGTCATCACACTTATTGAGGGCTGTGTGCCAGGTACTGTTCTAAGGGTTATTTCTCACACCAAACCTAGTAATGCAATCATGCTTGTTTAACAGATGGGGAAATGGAGACAGGCAGTCCCCTGCCATAGCAGGTGAAGGGAAGGGATCAGAATCTGAACCCAGGGCCCATTTTTATGAACAGGTACACTACCTGGAGGGTGGTACAGAGATTGTGCTATTAAGCTCAGAAATCATCACCTTGCTTATGGGGCCCTGGAGTCATTAGTGTCTTTTGTGTGAGTCAACAGCAGAGAAAGCCTTGTGCTGAGTGGTTAAGGTGGTCACTAAGTATCACTTTCTCAGAACAGAATTGAGGCCAGCGGTGTTGGGTCTGCCACAAGCACCCCTGACCTTTTATCACCCTTAGAGGCACCGTGATGAAAACACTGAGGAGGAATGTGTCTACAGCCTCAGAGTGACTGCTAAGCCTGACACTTGAGGCTGAAGCCAGAAAGGAAAAGACAGACAGATGTGAGTACATACAAGTTATACATTTTTCTCTTGAAAGTTCCAAATATTTTCAGTATGTGACAAAAAGTCATTCATATATAAAGAGGTGTAACAAATCAACAAGAAAATATATGAGGGGTCACCAAACTTTTTCTGTAAAAGGCTGGATAAAAATATTTTTAAGGGGCCATAGGGCCCCTTAACTCCTCAGCTTTGCTGTTGGAGCTTGAAAGCAGCCCTAGCCATAGACAGTTGTGTGAGCAAATGGGCATGGATGGCTGTGTGCCAATAAAACTTTATTTACCAAAACAGGCCAGGGGTCAGATTTGGCCCGAGTTGTAGTTTAATGACCCCTAGTATATACCAATGGCAAAGAAGAAAGGAAAGCAGTGTTTTCTTCACCTTCTTTTGGGGGAGCCAATGCCTCTTCCCAGTATTGTACATCAAGCAATTCTGGGTTGGCTGAGGGTTAAATTTCTAAAAAGGGAATGGGTTTCTGTGAGCATCCTGCTCTGCCCCAGGAATGTTCTGGTTCACTGGAAGGCCCAGACACCTGCATGCTGACTTCCTTCTTTTAGCTGAGCCCAGAGGCTCTCAGCCTTCAGCTTGCAGGGGAATGGCCGTGTAGAGCTGCATACAGAAAACCACACACATGAACTTTTAGGTGCACTTGAAGAGACTTACAAGGGTAATTTTGACTATAGGCTTTTTCCCCTTAACTGCTGACTTTGGAACTTAATCCCCTGAGAAAGAAGCAACAGGAAGGGAGTGGACAGACCCCATCCTGCTTCTCTCCCAAACCTCAGGCATGTTTTCTGAAATCTGGTTAGACCATGTGAGTACCCAAGAGAGCTTGGGGCCAGCCACAAAGGCCACGGCCAGAAAGACACTGGAGCTTGGGTGGGAATCGAGGCGGCTGCACACTCTGGGCCAAATCAAAGAGTCCAAGAGCCAACATGGGTGCAAGGCCTGCCCACTGCCCTTCTGCAGCACCTTGCTGAATTCACTCCCAAAACCCATGCATGGGGCAAGATGCGATGGAGGAACCAGAAAGCACAGGGAATGTTCTCTGGGTGCTCCTGCCTTTTGTTTCAGCTGCTTGTGGGTAAAGCTACTCTGAAGACCAAGGGCCAGCTCCAGGCCTGTTTCCCCCATGAGCAGGTGGAAAGGGGCTTTGGGCCCTCCTCTGCGACTTTGGTTTCAAAAGTGAAATGATCTGTTCCCTCCCAGCAATCTCTACGTGCTCTGGGGACACTTGGGAAGGTAGCTTTCCAGAGGGGCCAGACTTTTGAGGCTCAGTGGAAAGCACAAACAGCCCTTGGTAAGCCTGGAGCCCTGAGCTATAGGTGGGGTCTGAGGAGCAGCTCTTCGCTGGAGAACCCTCTCTAAGCCTATGCGCAGCAGACCTGCCGGCCAAAGTCCCCAAGCCCCTGCCAGTCAGAAGCATCGTCAAGTGCTAACACCAGGGAGGGAAAACACACTTTTTAAAAAGGCCTGTTTTTTTACTTCTCTAAGTGGCTACACTCTCAGCACTAATATTTCAGTTGCATTTTTGTCGCCCTGACTCCTCGGATATGAAGTCCTCAGGAGGGAGTCTGGCACCTGGTGGGTACCCAGCCAAGGAGCACTGGTGTTGATGTTGCCTGTTGACAGAATTTGATAGTCACAGTTGGGGATGTGCCAGAGAAAATGCCCTTCTGACTCAGGATTCACACTGCCTTTGGTATCACAGCAGGTCCCACACTCTGGGGAACAGGGTCCTAGGCTGTTACCTCCCCTGCATGTGCTAGTAAGCGTGGCATCTGAGAGTTGTTTTTACTGTTTTTGAGAGTGGGCCACTGGCGTGCTGCTGCTGAGGACTTCTGGGTCTGGCCTGTGAAATCACGAACCCACTTTCACTGACAAAGGGACCATTTAAAAGCCACAGCCCGGCAAGCCAGCAGATGTCAGGAGCACGGAACCCCAGTGCTGAGGCCGGCTGACTTCCGGTGAGTGCTTACCATGTGCTGGGCACTGCGCACTAACGGTCTGATCAGAATGGGCTGGGGATTAACTAACAGCAATAGCATCTGGAAGCTGAGGCACAGAGAGGTAAAGCAACGTCCTTACTGTCCCACGTGGGCTCTATCCCCACAGAGCCTCTGCCACCTGCCTCATGAAGTCTGTTAGCTGCCAGGCTCTTCTGTGCAGGCCCAGGATCCAAAGTCGACTAAAGTGAATCCATAGCTTAAAGCTCAATGAGGGGCTGTGCTGAGCTCAGTAGGAAAACCACGGCTCTGCTGTGGACTGAGCAGCCAGTTAAACTGATGAGATCAAGACTGGAAACAGCCTGAGCGTGGTGAGAGAGTAGTTGCCTGGGTTTTCTTATATACCTGCCCTTTCTCTTTACCCAACGCCGAACACTCCACCGCTGACGGAGAGCCTGCCTAACTGGATACACCAAGCGAAGCAGACAAAACCCGAAAGGAGGTGGCAAAGTACAGGAGCAGAAATTTCAAATAGGAACATGACATAGCTGCATTCCCCTGGGATAGGGTGATGGGGCCCCTGGGAGAGCATGCAAATTCCCAGAGCCTCATCTCCCTCCTTCCCGCCCCAACCTCGAGCTCCAGCCTCACAGACCCAGAGCATCCCAGGGGTGTCCCCCAGGAGGATCCCCTTACGAAGTGGTGGGGCCAGCCCTTAAGAGCAGGAAATGGTGTCTGTGAGGATGGACTTCAGGCTGTAAAGTTTTCTTTTATTCAAGTTAAGGAAACACACAGCTGGAAAACAAAAGGAGAGGCAGAAGATATGAATTACCTTTAACTTTGATTTCTCGGATCAAAGATCACAGTCATTCTGTTTCATAATATGTTTTGTATCCAGCTAAGGTTTGTGTCTATCAGCTCTGAAAAAGATTTGCAAAACCATTTTTGAGAAGAAGAAAAAACGTCATCTTCGACCTCTATTATGCTTCCAACTCATGCTCACATCAGCCATTTAATGAGTCTCTCTTAAACTAGGGCCGCGTGGAACCCAGGATAGGACTTAACCCTCTGCCCAAATTCAGTGTCATCTTAACATTGGTGCCAGAATTAACCCCAAACCAAGGTAACAGTCACTGAGATGAGGGACTTTGCGCAAAGAAATGGGGATCTCTAGATCAAAGTTCATGAGCAAGGTTATGGCATTTTGTTTGTTGAGCTAGACCAAGCAACCTTGTTGCGGGTTATGTCATGGAGTTTCAAATCATGGCCAACTAATGAGGTACAATTTTAGAAGCTAGCTTCTGCTGCACAGAATGTCAGAATTTCATGAGGGATGTACTCAAACGTAACCCTCCTTCAGGTTCTCATATATGCTAAACTGGATCCCTGCTTTCTTCTTAGTGGTGATATACCCTCCGTGGGCATGCAGATTTCTTCCTGTTGCTTTGGTCGACAATATTTTTAAAAGTGACTATTTTCTAGCCCCTGCCCAATCCAAGCACTGAAGGCACTTAAAAAGGAGTGATGAGCAGTCTACTTTATAAACCATTCCATTATATTACATTTTCTCTTCATTTTTTAAATCACAGTAAACTCCCCTCTATAGCTGTATAATGCCTACAGCTTTCAGAACATTTATTCTCTCAATCCCCTTTCAATGGCCAAATTACAAGGCCAGGATCCATCCTGAGTGCCGGATTTAGAAATAGTTTCTGTGATTAATTTCTCCAGGGACTGATCCAGCTTTTACTAGATGCCTGTTTATTAGCATCGTGAGATAAACCAGGATGTCTTTCAAGGAGAGGCACTTCAACACATTGAACACTCAATTAGCTCTTTTCTGCAGTTAGAGGCCTAAACTCCCAGATGTTAGGCCCCAAGAAGGTTTGTTTGGGGTTCCTCACAGCTGCTGCAGCCCAGGACAAAATAACTACCTCCCTTCCCTCCTTAGTAGCTGCTGTAAACACAGTTTGGGCCATGCAGCTCAGGCCATCTCCTGAAGCAAAAAGATCCCACTCTCCAAAATTCCAGGTGCCTGTGGCCCTAAGGCAGCGCGCTCACTGTACTCCCTACCTCTGCTACACGTTGGTTTCTTCCAACCCCAAGGGCAGAAGGCACCGCGAGATCGTTCAGAGCCTTAAAATACCACCTGTGTCCTGGCAATGATCAAATGGATGTTTTTCAGCCCAGACCTCACACCTAACTTCAGACTCAGACACCTAACTGTCCACTGGGCCTCTCAGATATGCCCCAAACCAATCTCCTGACTCACTACCACCCCATGGTCCCCCTAAAGAACAGCCCTGTTCTACTTGTCCCCATTATAGGAAACACTCCCTACTTCCGGTTGCTCGGGCCAATCTTGGTCACAGCCCACATCCCCATCATATACAAATGTTTCTGGATCTACCCTCAAAATGCATCCGGAAACGAAAACCTCCACCACCTCCTGTGTACATCACGGGTTCCTCACCAGTCTCCCTGCCTCTGTGCTGGGACCCCTGGCCTCTGCCCAATGGCAGGGTGGGTCCCATTGGAATTTAAAGTAGAGCATTTGGCTCAGCTGTTACTCCTAGAAAAATCAGCTCCAAGGTGCTATAATGGCCAAGACGTTTTCACTTTGCCCATATGTGCCCGTTCAGGAAGCACTGAGCAGGGATCAGGTGCCAGGCACATTCCACGGTCACAGCCGGTGGCCTGTACATGGGTGCTTTGAGGGGGAGTCTCAGTGGACTCAGAAGACTGGTCCTCAAGGAGCAGAGACTGATCTGTCTCCACTCCCCACCCCTCGGCACCAGAGTGCAGAGAATTTACAAAGCATCAAACCCATCAGTTCGTCTGTGGCCTTTTGGGGTGCAGCTTCCTGTTTAGTCATGAAGTTTCACTCTTTAGTTGCCTGTCTCTTGGTAGAAGACAGCAACAAGAGCCAGAGGAAGGGATTGTTTTAATTCAACTAAGACTCAAAATTCAACTCAAGACTCAGACCCCACCAACCACTCCTCATGGCCATCTCGGGGTTGGTGGTGCAATGCCTATTTCTCAGGTCAACTTGCTGAGGCAGAGAGAGATGAAGTGACTTGTCCATGAGCAGCCCTCTGGTGCTGAGCAGAGCCAAGATCAGGTCCCAGCTCCACGGCACCCCAGTGTTTGGAGTTACCATATGCCACCTAGGTGATGAGACAAACCCTCCCAAAGACGGGGAGGGAGGCCTCTGGTCCTAGAATCTCTGCCCTACTTGGTGGTTGTTCCCAAAGCTGAAGACCTATCTAGTGAGGTTGCATTTTTACAACGCTAGGCATAGACTGGTGACTCATCCCACTAGTCTTGGGGATGAATTTAGGACACAGATTAGACGAGGTTCACAGATTAATCAGTAATGATAATTAACAGGAAAGCATAAGGTATCAACGGATAAAGCCTTTACACACGAAACACAGACCCCAGAATCTGTCACCTTGACTAATTATACAACTAGCAGTCCTTTGAAGGCACGGGCATGGATGGGATTAGAGGGGGACACCTGTGTCATGGAGCTCATGGGACTCAGAGACTGGTCTAAGGGACATCCCATTTGATGGTTCTACACTGAAAACACCGATCTCCCTCTCAACCAGTATTGAGTGTGCTACCATCTTAACCACTGCCCACTTTTTTCATAATTACACATCGGCTTAAATCAAGGGAGAAACAACTTGGACTTTCTCCAAGCTACGCTGCCCTGCAAGGAAGGACTAACCAACTGTGTAAACTCAGACCGGAGCCGAGCCTACCCCTCTGCCCAGTCCTTTTCTCCAATTCAGCAGAATTTCTGATTACATGCAGCTTAAGCTGCACCTCTTGATCAGGCAACCACAGCTCTAAGCGGCGACCACAGGCAGGAAAGCAGTCTACACACACTGCTGCTTGCTTCCTTGGTCTTCAGCCACCTCACCAATGCCTCGACCCCAAGCCTCTGCCGGGAGGCCTCAGCTGCAAAGCAAGTACTGCAAAATAAGTTGTTGGCCTTTTTTTTTTTTTAACAAAACAGAAACAAAAGAAAAGTACTTATTACTACACCCAGTTGCCATTCTGGAAAGAAACAGTGATCCAAACCCACAGAGCGGCCTGTGACCACAAATGAGATGATAAAATAAATACCTAATTGTTTGGGAAGCCATCTTTGTCTTTGGGGATTGGAGGAGTGAACCAAACATTTGTGTTCTGACATTTGAGTTTACTTATCTTTGCTCAGGCGTGAAAGAGGGAGCCGAGGCAGGGGAAGGCAGCTCAGAACCCCAGGTGCTTTAGCATGTGGAAACCGGGAGCAGCAAGGGCCTTTTCCATCCTGAGCTGCTTTCCTACATCACAGAGTCACACGTAACGGCCTCGTGGCCTCTGGGATGAGATCCAAACCCCTCCTGCCCCAAGAGACCTTTCCTTCAAAAACCACCATGGGCCCTGCTGCTTGGCAACGGTTCACCGGGTATTTATTGAAACTTCCAGCCCAGCCTCCACCTCACCCTCCCATAAGTTCGCCTTCCAGATCATTCTATGTCCTTCCACGTGTCCTGGCCAGACCAGCTAAGCACACACACACCCTTCCTAAGTCCAGCGTGAGCCCGTCCCGGAAGGAAGCATCCTGACCCCTTCCCATCTGTCTTATGCACTGTCTACAATTCCCCTGCTCCTGAAAGGTTACAACCATGTCTGCCCCCTCCCGAGGCCCTTGGGTGTGAAAACCGATAGACCTGCAGACTGCCTGGGAGTATAGGCTGTTCCCACATGTACTTGGTAAGACCTCACCATGGGGTCCAACCCTGGATAAGCCAACCCACCCACCTGCCTGGGGGGGAGAGGGAAAGGTCAAGTGCAGGGCCAAGCACCCTCCACCTTTCTTGGTCAGCCAAGAGCCTGTGAGGAGACAGAAGATAAAGCAGGAACCCCTCTGGCCACCCAACCTGTGCTTCCAGGAAAGAAATTCCACCAGGACCAAGCAGGGACCAGGTCCCAGCAGGGATCAGACCTCATTGTAAATTTCTCCAAGTGAGACTCATAGGTCTGACCCCTGACACTTACTGCTCTCAACTCAAAGGCTGCCCAGAGTGACCGACAAGGACTGAATGTGAGTGATACTACACCAGGTGTCCCTAAGATACAGGAACTCTCCCAGGACATGCAGACAGAGCCTCAGCTCCTGACTCATCCCCTTGATCAAACCTTTCACCTGCACAGTCCCTGCTGTGGACCCAATTGTGTTCCCCAAGTTGCTGTTTAAGCCCTGTCCCCCAATGTGATGATATTTGGAGACAAGGCCTTTGGGAGGTGATCAGGGTTAGATCCCGCCTCACAGATGGGGCCCTGATGATGGTGCCCTTTTAAGAAGAGACACCAGAGAACTGGTTAGAGCTCTCTCTGCCATGTGAGGGCACAGCGGGAAGATGTCGATCTGTAGAGGGCTCTCACCAGAACCTGACCCTGCTGGTACCCTCATCTCGGACTTCCGGCCTCCAGAACTGTGAGAAAATGAATCCTACTTCTGTGTTCACATCCAGCCTCAAATGCTGCCTGGGTTCCTCCAGCCAGCACCCCTTCTCTGCCTTCCACTGATCTCACAAACAGCCTTTCTGTGTCTGCTAAGATTGTACGTCTCTGAGGGTGGGGGCCACAGATGGCTCAGTGCAGGGGATAAGCTCAGTGGGGGGGGGGGG